GGGTCCCCTCGGCTGCAGTGCGGGCTGTGCGGGTTTGGCCGCGTTTCCCGCCGCTTCCAGCAGCCCAGCCCGAGCGGATGTGGGTGTGCGTGGGGCCGCGGGGAGATGACAAGGGTGAGGGTGTCCCTTCCATGGAGTTCTGGGCCTGATCAGTTTTAGCTGATCCAAAAAACCCCAAATCAAACCCCAAACCTGCTTGTTTTCATGAGCAGCCAGTCCCATGTCCGTCGTGAGTTACCCCGTGACACGTGTCAGCACCCACGGGAGGGTGTGACACGGCAGGACACCGCGAGGCAGCCACGCGCGGGTGAGCTGAGCTCTGCTCTGCTCTGCTCTGCTGCAGGTTAGCTCCTTGCCGTGGATTTTGGGCTGTGGGGGCAGCCTCTCCCCCACGGAGCCTTCACTGGTGCTGGCACAGGGTGAACCCTCCCCGTGGTCTCTTCCACACTGGGAACACTGGTGATGGCTCTTGCCAAGCCCACCGTCTATTTTCTCAAACTTTCCAGAAGTTAATGTCCTCAGGGCTTTGCCATGTGCTGCTCCCAGGTTTGAAAGGGGGTCATTTTGGGCTGTGGGTGCAGCCTCTCCCCCACGGAGCCTTCACTGGTGCTGGCACAGGGTGAACCCTCCCCGTGGTCTCTTCCACACTGGGAACACTGGTGATGGCTCTTGCCAAGCCCACCGTCTATTTTCTCAAACTTTCCAGAAGTTAATGTCCTCAGGGCTTTGCCATGTGCTGCTCCCAGGTTTGAAAGGGGGTCAGAGGGGCCTCGCGGGATGGTCACATCAGCCTCATTTCTGCCAGACATCAATCACAGTGTGATAGGAAGGTGAGCTCTGTGCAGAAGTGATCCCTTTAGCTCTGTTTAGTGCACATTGTTGCCAGTAAACTTGCTGTAAATGCCAAAATACGTTTCCTCATCGTGTGCCAGAAGCAGCAGTCACTTAGAGCGGTCTGTAGTCTGCCAGGTGTGTCTGGGTTTATTGCTTCGCTTTTCTCCAGGTATGAAATGATGTTGGGAGCAGTGAATGTAAAACCATATAACATCCAACCTCTTGGGCCCCAATTTTGCAGTGCTATATAAACATGTGTAATTTTAAGTACTATCAGGACTTCCATTGACCTCGGTGGGACTACTTATAGTGCTCCCAGTTAAACACACATACATTTTTTTCAGGATAAGAGCCAAAGATGACTCATACGAGCGTATGCATCACAGATTTTTATCTTTCCACCGCTATTTGTTGTTACAACTTATGGTTTAATAAAGGTTAAAATATGTTGAGTTCAACTTCAGGTTCACTTGTAAAATAACCTGTTTCTATTCTGCACGTTTCATCCTGCTTGGCCCTAATGCTTTCTTGAACAATTATGCTGCTGGCACTGTTCACGCTTTATCCTTTTTGGATCCTTTATCAGCTCCAGCAGCTGTTTTGCATAAGTGTGATGGTGGAAAAATGTGGATTTCACAAATCTTTTTATTTTTCCCAGCACTCGGCAATGAGAGATCATTGTCTGCTTAGCAATAATGGCTTTTCCAAAAGCAAAATGTGACAAACAATTTCTAATAAATCAGACCTCGAAAAGTTTAATAGTAAAATGCAATGACCCATCACCAATGTTTTATACATTAGGCGAGCTCAGTGCAAATAGAGTGGAGAGCATATGCAATTACTGAAGATAATTATCTTATTCTTATGAGGGAAAATGTTGCTGAGTATTTCTTGTGTTAAATAATGGACTGAGGTTCCTAATGTCATTTTAGGAGGCGTGTCACAGACACTTGGAAATCTAACAAATTAAATTTAATAATTTAAAATGACAATAACACAAGCGAAGTACAGGAGGTACTGGAATTATTCTCTAATAAATCTAAAACATTATTAGTTGGGAGGTTATTGTTTTGGAAGACTGGAAGTTATTCTATGCATTTAATCCAGTAACAAAGAGGAGGGTTTGTCTTCGCTGCAGAGCTGTGCTGGGCTGTAGCTGCATCAAATGCTGTGAAGTCAAGTCCTGATGCCTTCAAAGCCGTTAAGCGCGGTGGCATTTTTAACTGAAGGCAGCTGGGTGGTGGAGCAATGTACACTGAAGATCATAGAATCATGGAATGGTTTGGATTGGAAGGGACCTTAAAGATCATCAAGTTCCAACCCCCCTGCCATCAGCAGGGACACCTTCCACTAGACCAGGTTGCTCAAAGCCTCATCCAGCCTGGCCTTAAACACTTCCAGGGAGGAGCAGCCACAGCTTCTCTGGGCAACCTGTTCCAGTGTCTCACCACCCTCACAGTGAAGAACTTCTTCCTAATATCAAATCTAAACCTTCCCTCTTTCAGTTTTAACCCATTTCCCCTTGTTCTGTCATTAACTGCCCTTATGAAAAGTCCTTCCCCAGCTTTCTTGTAGCCCCTTCAGGTACTGGGAGGCCGCTATAAGATCTCCCCGGAGCCTTCTCTTCTCCAGGCTGAACAGCCCCAACTCTTTCAGCCTGTCCTCATAGGAGAGGTGCTCCAGCCCTTGGATCTGAGACCACAGCACCTCACGTGCTAGCACAAGTCAAGACAGACACTCAAATGGCAACGCTGGCAATCCACATGTCAGTGGTCCACAAGCTACTAACAATCCGCAGCCTGCCTTTAAGAAATCTGTACAAGGTTACCGAGTTGTCAGCAGCGTTCTGAAGGCTCTGAAACCCTCATAAAATACTAGGGATCTAAAAAAGGAAGGCTAAACCCACTCCTTCCAACAGAAGAATAGATGTTCAGCAGCAACCGTAGTATTGGGGTTTTTTTCAGAGCTGTGCAGTTGGTGTGAGTGGGATGCTCTTCTCCAGAGGCAGGAGGACTCAATAACACTTGCCCTGAAGTGTAACTGGTAGAAAACAGGATTGAAAGAGGCCTTGGTACTTTTTTAACTAGCTGTGGGAAATTAGCCTCTTCAGCACAACGACGTAATTGAGCTCTCAGCGCTGGTCACATCTGGAATGAACAGGCAAGAGGCATGATGGAAAACAGAGTGGGGCCGATTACAAAACCAAGAGGGAGATGAAGGGATTGGTGTGCCCAGGGGAACAAGCGGAGGGCCTGTGTTCCAGTTTCTCTTGCAGGATGTAGTGGGTGGGTTGGTTAGTCAAGCTGGAAGGAGAGTTGGACACAGCTGTCTTCTTTGCCTTCTTTGTAAAAACTGGTTTTGGCAGTAGCTGCAACAGAAATGGATCATTTACACGTTTGTCATCAGGTATCAAGTCTGGAATCTGGTTTAACCTTTGAGAAATTAACTTTAACTGAAAAAAAAATCCTAGTCTGGGTAGTGTGTTAACAGGAAATTTTCCCGTTCTTGGATATGCTTAATTTTTGTCTGCTGAAAATAAAATTACTACAAATCACTTGCATTTATTTGTAGTAAATTGTTTTTCATACGTAATAGGATTTCTGTCTGCTTTAGGCAGTGTTAACTAGTGATTTCTGGAAGGATGAGAAGTGTCTGCATTATTTATTAAGAAAATGTATTCCTTTGTATTGTGATATTTATGAAATTCACCTCTATTAGCATTTGTTATTGGTAGAAGGAAGGAGGATAAATTTGAAGTCCCGTCAGTGGGGTGAAGTGAAATATTCTTTAAGATAACATTTTGGCTGGTGGCTTCTGTACTTTGTAAATTGTTTTCTAGGGCTCTGCAGCAGTCTAGATGGAATCATAACTTCAGGGAATGCTTATTGGATTAGAAATTTTCTTGAATCAGACCTCCAGGAAAGTTGATTACAGATTTTCTCTTCTTGGTGTTATCTCACTTTATTACAAGTTGGTTTATTCTGGCCTTTATAAGAGAAAAATCCTTGTGTCCAAAGAACATACAATTAAAGACTGTATCCTGATGTCTTAAAATATCTTTTGTGCACGTTAATTTGAAGAGTGTGAATTCTGTCCCCAGACAGAACAATTCTTCAAATTGCTGTGAAATATGGGGCAGCATTTGGGTAGAGAAGATGAGAAACAAGGTACAACTGCTGAGATATAGCAACACAAAGTAAAAGATTTTCAACAGGAGCTTATTGTAAAACAAACAAGAAAAAAAAGAGGCAGAGGTAGAAAATGCAGCAGCAGCAAAAGAAGAGATTGCAAAAAAGGAACTGTGTTTATACATCAGTGTCCTGATATTCAGAAAAGGGCTTCCTCTCTGTGGCTGTAGATAACTGCCAACAGAGTTTTCTCAACACAGGAAACTGTAAGCATATTTTGTAGTATTTAGACATCTAATACTGACTGTGCCTCTAAAATCAAGTAAGTAGATGTATATAAATGCTAAAAATCAGCTGTGTGTGCCCTTTGGTTTTTCTCTAGATGCTAAATGAAAGCTGGCTTTAGAAAACTAGGGCTTAAAAGCACTTTGATATTGACGAGGAGGGAGGCAGAAATTATATCCCCTTTCTTGCTTTTCTTACTCTATTAAGAAAGCACTTTTTCTCTGTTAACAAATGCAGAATCTGCTTTCTGACTCTGAGGATAGTTAAGCATTTCAAACAGTCTGAACAATTTGTTCTTTTTTTTTAAAACCTTTTTCCCCTTAATGGTTATTGTTGCTGAGATTATTTATTTGGATGGGAAGATGAACATCTAGAGGACTGGAGGTTGTGCTAATGCCTTCTTACCCTCGTTTCATTGCTGTGTTCTTAGCAGAGCTCTGATTTGGAACCTCTTGGTTGACAGTTTGTATTATGCTAATCGAAATCTGTTTACTGGAAATGAAATTTGAATATGCTGTAAGCTTGCTATCATTAATAAACAGAATTATTTTTCTTTTTTTCTTTTTTTCAGTTGGATTTCCAGTTTCCACTACTGATATTGATGGTCTTGAAAGTGCATTTGGATGTAAGACATTTTCTGTCACTGAACAAATCAAGAGCCTCCTCTCCTATCTCAGAACAATACCAACAGCTTAATATCATATGACCTCATTTCTTCAAATTAAATGAAAAAAGAATTCTTTCTAGTTTTCCATGAAGCTCAGCTATTGCCTGTTAATTTTGACTGTTGGTGCTGATCTTTCAGTTGGATTTACACTGGAAAATGTAGCTTTTAACGGGACAGTTGCTTTTGGGTCTTTCAATACATCACTTCATACAGTGTCTCAAGCTTTACTGAGTTCTCCAGCACACCATGATATCATAGCCAAAGAGGGGACCAGTATTTTAATTGAATGTAAACTGAACATCAGCCAATATGAATATATTCTTTGGTATAACTCCAGAGGACACCTGCTTGGACAGGAAGATGAAGGTGAGCTTTCCTGCTGTTTTCTGTCCTTCAGTGTTCCCCTTTTATAAGTACCTGAAAACCCCTGGGACTTCATTATCATTTTCTCTTCCTATCCTCCCAATTTTACAGTTGGGAGATAAGGAAAGAGAAAGACAAAGCCCTTTGCCCTCTGGCATGTGGCATGTGAATTATACTTGAGTTCTTCTGTCCTAGCCCATCTGTCCTGCTATGGTGCCCCACAAAACCGTTTTGTTCAAGAGGCATCAACACAGAAGAAATGAATCTGCATACTAACTGATGTTTTTATTTATTATTGCTCTGATTTATATTATATTTTTTCCAAACACATGAATTAAACACAATTCTCTACAACTTGTGACCTTTTCCAGCTGGCAATGAGTGCTTTAATTTTGTTACAGGTTTTTTTAAAGCATGGGGTAACTTTTTACATTTATTTTCTGGTTTATGCACTACTGAGACCATGGCAACTAATGCAGTTTTTAATGGCTGATGATTAAATATGTGCTACTTAACCCTTTTGTACAGAGGAAAAATATATTTTCCTAGCCGTTGGCTCTTACAGTTCTGTCCCTGTAGTTTTTAATTTTCAAAAAAATAATGTCTTTTAGAGATGCATGTGGTTTTCTCTATTAGTATTAATGAAGGTCATTGAGCTAATTGATAGGATCTTCTCGGAGGCCATCTTTCTGCCTTAAATATTCAGTAACCTCTTTGTAGTTAGATTGCCATCTGGAGATTAGTTCAAAGTAGAGTAATTAGAAGGATGAGTTATGAAAACAGTTTTTCCCCTAAGTTATAAATGCATAGGAAATACTGTATTAAGCTGGCTTCTTTTATTGATTTCTTTTTATAAAGGTTTTGTATATCAGTGCTGCATGCTCAGCAGAAAACTGTGTCTCGAAAAAATCCTGGGTTCTTTTGCCAGCAGAGCCATTTACAGACTCTGATGTTCTTCATGGGTCACTTGACTTTTGTCTGAATGTATGGAAAATTAGACTTTATAGAGGACAGTCTTTCCACATAGTGTTACACAGCGGGTGAGACGCACTAGTTAAGAATTGGGTTCTCTGTCAGAAGGAGCTAGCCGTCCAAAAGCACACAAGAAAGTGCAGATGAGAGAAAGCAGAAGAAGCAGGATAGCAAGCATGCAGAATAATTTATTATTAAGCAGTAGGATTGGTGACTGGGTTATGGCTTTCTGAATGACAAGCACAGGAAGGAAATTTCAGTCCTGGGTGCAGTGTTTGTGTCATGCTAGAAATGGACTGCTTACTTCCGTGCTTCCTCTCCTGTTGGTGGAGCAAACAGCACGTGTCTAGTTTACAAAGTGATTTTTGTTTCATTAGCTCAGTTTATTTCTTTTGAATCTCCAGGTGGACGGTGGAGGATTGCTGATAATTCCCTTAACATCACAAAGGTGAACTTTGCTGACCGGGGGCGATACACGTGTGCAGCTGTTAATCGTAATAACACCTGGTATTACACAGTCACCCTGAGGGTTACCTTCACCTCGGGAGACATGAGTATCTACTACATGATTGTGTGCCTCGTTGCCTTTGCTATCACCCTCATTTTAAACATCACCCGTCTGTGCATGATGAGCAGTCACCTCCGCAAAACGGAGAAGGCTATCAATGAGTTCTTCAGGACGGAAGGGGCTGAGAAGCTTCAGAAGGCTTTCGAGATAGCCAAGCGCATCCCTATCATTACATCTGCCAAGACGCTAGAGTTGGCCAAAGTCACTCAGTTTAAGACCATGGAGTTTGCTCGATACATTGAAGAGCTTGCCAGAAGCATTCCCCTCCCACCACTGATCCTTAACTGCAGGGCGTTCATGGAGGAGATCTTTGAGGCTGTGCGTGTTGACGATCCCGATGAAGCTGGTGAGGAGGAAAAACAGACCCAAGCTTGCGGTACCCAAGCTGCGATCTACCCCATCAACCCAGAGATCAAGCGCAGCGATTCGCCAGCCGGGGATTCAGACGATGGGTCCATGAACGAGCAAGGTCAAGAGATAGCAGTTCAGGTGTCCATTCACCCGCAGTCAGAAGTGCAGAGCATCGACACTGTTTCTCACGACAGCTGCCAGTTTGCCCCTTCTGAGGAAGGCACCTGCTGAGTCCAGCCACGCGCTGTTGTGAAGGAAGCACAGATGACCCTAGGATACTGCCAGAAAGGGGTCTGCAAACAAGCTGCCTCAGTCCCATATGCACAAGAGTTTTCCAAATTACAAAGTGCCAGAACTGCTACTGAAATCTGTATTTTCTGTCAGTGTTGATCTAACAATTTCTAGTCTGTTAGAGAAGGCCGTTTGGAAGATTGTGCAGTGGCTTTTCTTTTTAAAGCAAGCTTGCTATACTGAAAATATTTACAAAACAGGAATTCTTTGTTCTTGGCTCCTCGGTAGCTTCTGATACTTCCAACCTGTATTAGAAGTGGCCGAGCTGAGCAGTACAACCTGCAATAAGATCTTTTCCTTTGTGAACTCTTTCTTCCTTCACAAAGTAGATCTGGAATTCCTTTGAGTCAGTGGTGTTGTCCTGATGAATTGAGTTGTGTGCTCTTTTTGAATTGCCTCTCGGTGCATGTAGCCCATCAGAACCATGGTGAGCTTGAACTGTTTTGTGTCTTGTGCTTATATGTTGCTATCAAAATGTACTGTACTTAGGAAAGGAGTAGTACCAGGATCTGCTGCTGGATTAAACGCACTGTTGTAGTTTCAAAGCAGCTTAGAGAATAAGCAAGGGGTCTCTTTCCATGCACCTGCAGAAAACTTGTGCACACTCTGGTGTGCGGAGAGTGAATTGTTGTCACAAAGCTTGTCATTTAAACTTGGTGCTGATTGCCAAAGCGCCTTACCCTGGTTCTGTCTTACCGAATGGAGCAGTAGCAGCACTGCCAGCACTGTCTTTCCACTTGTTTCACTCGCTATAGAAAATCCAAAGTTTTGTATTGTATTTGACACTGTTGTGGGAAAAGAATGACAGTGATCGTGTAGTGGCATCATTTAAAAATCAATTCATCTACAGATCAGGTGTCTCAGGCACTTGTTTCTGAACATCTTTATAATAAAGGAGGTGAAAAGTAGTGACACTCACTTTGCTCTGGCTAGTACTTCCAGGCAGCTGTAGAAGAGAGAGTGGTTAGTGGAGGGGCTGGCTGAGCTATCTGCCAGGAGTGGGGTGACTCACAGAACGTGCCCTGTCTCATCTGGTGAAGAGGGGTGGCAGAAGGGAGAGGTGCAGGTGCTGGCATAGGTACACAACATAAATACTTCACCAAGGATCTCCCACATGGCTTCCTCAGCTCTAGAGATCCAGCCTTGAGGAATCACAGTGCAGTCAAGAATCTAGTTTATTTTTTCACTCTTTGGTGCTGATTTTTTTTTTTTTTTTCTCCTTAACATTTGTAAGTTGTATCACTTAAATAGCATTTTATATCCTGTTGAGATTTAGTAGATGTAAGGCTTGTAAGCACTCCACAAATTAATTTCTTACAACTACTGGAAGCATATTGCCATATAATTTTAACAACTTGGCAACAGGAGCACCATTTAATTTCCCACAACTCTTTTTTCTTTCCTTATTATTACAGAAATGTCAGTTGAACAAGTGATTCTGGACGGCTGCTCGGGATTCTTAAGAGGATTTGACATTACATTTACATGAGTAGAGATGGAAAACAAGCAGGCACAGTGATAATAACAGGGTGGGGCTGTCTGTTGTAATGTACGCTCCTAACAAAGGGTCTGAACAAATTATATTTATCGTATCGTATCAGAGAACGGGAAATTGAAGCATCTGTTACTATTTTAAACCACCTTCTGGGGAAAGTTCTGCAGTCAGCCACCAATAAATACAGCCTGGTTGGCTTTGGTGTGTCGGTTAAGAGTGGTGTTTGTCAGGAAGGAAAGAAATTGCTAGCCTTGGTTAGAGTAGTGTTCCCACCAGCTTGGTACCATTGCCAGAACTGTAGCAAACTTGTATCTTGCTTCAGAGGAATAAAGCCTTCTGTGGGCACTTCTAATAGCTGCTGCCCTCAACAGTCAGTTCTTTTTTGCTTCCATAGTCTGATGGCACGTTATGTCCAGATGAAAAGTTTGTATAGTTTTGTGTAACCGGTCTGGTCTCTTTTTTGGAGTGATCAGTGTTAGAAGATACTTTTGTGGATAAACATCTAGTTCTCCTAGAAGCCCTGCCACCATGCTGCTGGCTTTACTTCTGTACTACAACAAGCTCTGCAGGTTTGTTGCACGTGCATGAGTGGAGATTTGGAGGTTTGCACCATTTTGGATGTCCTAGTTGAAAGAAGAGAAGGCCACAAGAGAGAATGGTCTGTTTTAATCTCCTTTGTGCCACAGGCCATCAGGATTGTACCTGCAACTGCCTTTTTTCTCCATAAACAGCCCTCCTTGCTAATGTGAAACTGTTGCATTATACGCAGCAGTAGCATCTTGGATGTTCTGCCCCAAACTACATACGCAATGTAGAGATGCAGCTACAAAATCCAAGCTCCATTTCATTGCTTCCAAAGAAGCAGTTATGCAGTCATGATTGACAGATGTCTCATCAGAAGTGTCAGCTTACAGGCAGCAGAATGACACTAGAGGTGTGTCAGGTGGGTGTCAGGAGAGCAGTTTCTAGATTAATTCAATCTGTTCTTTGATTTTTATACTTTATTTACATAGCTCCGAGTTCTTAGTAAGCACAGTTACTTGATGTCTCCGTGTGTCCTGTTGCTAGTGGAGGGGGAAGAGTGATCATGCATAAAGGTCCTTAGATATGCAGTTGCAGTGTCAATTGCTAGAGAGTAAAGCTAAGAGGTTTCCTGAATTATTACAGTATTTTGTTCAATAAACTAATTTCATTCCTGGGAAGGAGGCTATTTTGTAAGGATTTCAGGAAATCAGGAGTACTTACTACATGTAGGAATTGATCCTTCTTTCACTGAATTCAGTTAGAGGAGATTTGAAGCTCTAGTGTATTTTACAAACGATATTGCAGGATTTTTATGCATCTGAGAGCAAGGATGATGGTGACGTTACACAGTCAACATAATTTCCAGAGAATGAAACCTGACACTGGTTTCCAAATAACTTGTGAACTATTCTTGTTATCTTGAGTAGATGTGTGCACTTAAATTTGTTTGATGCATCTAATTGAACATTAACATTGAAAGATGATGTAAATGTCAGTGTTTCTCTCTTAACTTTGTGTAGGACAAGGGGAGTCTACAGTGCTTTCTTTACTTTAAACTAAATTCTTTGACAATCACAAGGCTATTTTTCTCTTCTTTGTGACTTCTTTTTATTTTAAGTAATGTTAAATCTCCTTGTTATCCAAGAGTACCTAAAACTAACTTTGTAGTGGCTATTTGTATTACCTGGATTGTAATGTAGCTGTTTAATGTAACCACATAGGTTTTCATACTTTGATAAAATGAATTGTTAGATTTGCAAAATAAATTAAAACCAAAAGCCTCGTTTTGTTAGGCATTTCTTTTTTCTCAGTAAGGGGCGATGAGTAGGTGTCCATCCAAGGTTAAAGAGCAGCTGTATTTAGCTAAGCAGGATGTTGTTAGCCAGCCTGACAAAGGTTGCTGGGTTATTCAGTTGTCTGATAGACTGTTCCTGCTATGACATCCTTGGATCTGTCATTTTCTTAATGTCTCAAAAGTCCCCAGCAGCATCTGTAATAATTGTTACCAGCTGCATAAGCAAATGATTACAGACCTGAAATGGTTTCAGGAAGGCCCATGGGGATCTTATTAATGTCTGTAAATATCTGAAATGTGGGGGCCAAATGGATGGGGCGGGGCTCTTTTCGCTGGTGGCTGGTGACAGGACAAGGGGCAATGGGCAAAAACTGGAACATCAGAAGTTCCAGACAAATTTAAGGAAAAATTTCTTTACTGTGAGAGTGTTGGAGCCCTGGGACAGGCTGCCCAGGGAGGTTGTGGAGTCTCCATCTCTGGAGATGTTCAAAACCCGCCTGGACACTTTCCTGTGTAACCTGCTGTGGGGAACCTGCTTTGGCAGGGGGGGTTGGACTGGATGATCTCCTGAGGTCCCTTCCAACCCCCACCTTTCTGTGATTCTGTGATTCTGTGATTGTGCAGTGCAGCGACCTTCAGCCACCAGCCTGTATTTTCTGTTCTTACATTTCTCATAGGATTGTACTATTCTATATTGCAATCACCTCTTTTAAAAACAAAACAAAACAAAACAAAACCAACAGTATATTTGGACACAACTTATGTCTTAAAATGCAACAGAGCACAAATGTAGATACATTTTTAAAGCCTTCATGTGACCAAGTCTTATCTCGCTGTTTTCCCAGAGGGTTGCTGTGATGGCATAAAGAAATTTCCACTCCTGTGGCAAGGGGAGTATGTGGGCTGCTCTCACTCTGCATCCCTAGAGCTTGAGGAGATGTGGGTCTGACTTTACCTTTGCTCTTTGCTAGCCAGCAGTTTATTAAATTACATGGAGAGGGAATACCATCCCCTGGAGTGCTGTGCTAAGCATAGTGACAGTGGGAAGGAGGGGGCCATCGCACTTCATTTCAGTGGCCAGGCTTGGGTTCCTGATCCCTGGGTTGCAATTAATTCAGAGTATTAAACTCTGCCAGGGGATGATCCCAAGCGCCTAAGCGAGGTGCTTGCCTATCACCACTGGTTGTACTGGGAAACTCTATTTCCCATGTGAGTGCGTGAGGTTGCATGATAATAGATGTCTTCTGTATGGGCATGTCCTACAGCTCTGGGTGCCAGCCTGGAGCACAGAGCAAAAGTGCCCCTAATTAAGTTTAAACTTCAATCCACATCCCTTCCAACACCATAAAAACCAGCTTGCTAAGAAACTCTCTATATTATAGTCAGTGGGGTTGTGCAAGTGTATGAGAGCAAACTTCACCCACATTGTTTTTAAAGAATAGTCTTCTCATTGCCAGTCTCTGCACAAGGCAGATAACCGAATTAAAGCTGAATCTTGGAGATTTTTCCCAGGAGAATCAGCTGCTTAAAGGAAGAATTATTGGACCCATACTCCTCAGGCTAGGTCAATGTTTAGTCAGCATCTGCTTTCTGTCTCCATGTTACGAGATATGCATGAATGGTAACGGTTCACTTTCTTAAAGCTCCTATAACCTGACTCTTCCTGATCCTGTCCACAGTGAACAAATTCATCTGCATTGATTTAAAGCACTTTTCCAGTTGGATAACAACAGATCATTGAAAAGGGAGCTGCATTAAGGATGTTTGTACTTCAGTTTTAGGTCTGCTCCTTAAAAATATATTTTTTTTCTTAATGTTGCAGCAATCTAGTTGAGTCAGGTCTCCTGCTGGAGACACACAGTGGAAACACCACCATGTCATTTCACTCAGGCAAGTTACAGCTTCATCGACTTCCATTCAGCCAGATCATTTCACACCAGCTGGGTCTCTCTCCTCTTCCATTTTTTTTTTGTTGTATAGCAGCTCATTCAGATGTCCCCATATACTGCCAGCCTTTTTGCATGTGGAAGAGAGAATTACACCA